GTCCTTAAAAGAATTTATTAACGTTTGGCAGTTTCTCTGATCGACCTTAAATTTATTCGATTCCGAATAACTGTTTAGTCTTTCATCATTCTGATTCGCAACTGAGCTATAAAAAAGATTTACATTTGACAGTTCAACGGCGCCAACCTCAAGTTGTTTTTGTTTATGAGTTTCCGGTTTCGTCTCGGGGAAGACTGTTGATTCATTCTCGTCTTCAAATATGCGATCCCATACATCTGGTGTAATTAAACATTGAACATTGAGCTTATCTGTCAACGCGAAAAGAGCTTCTACGCGCGAATATAGACAACTGTTTGGTTTTTTGTAATAAATGGGAATAGTTGCTAACGTTGCCTCTATGACGTCGCCAAATGCAGAACTTAAAATGATTTTACCCTTACTTTCTATTTTTAAATCAGGAATTAATGTAGTGTTCAAAATTGGTATTTCCGTACCTGAATCTTTTATAGCTTCTACTTGCTTCCCTGCAATGTAAATAGTAATCTTTTCCAAGGAATAAAAATTAAGTTTTCCGTCGGAACACTCGGCGTTTTTGTAAATGTTTAGAATTTACATTTGTAACAACCGCATTGTCCTTCGGTTTACTTGAAGTGTTAACTTTCGGTTTGACCGGGAAATTATCGTTCTGTTTATTGGACCTCTCAAATTTATTTCGCCTGTTCGGGCAATCCTTAGCCAAATGTAAACTGCTACTACACACATAACATTCTCGCGGTTTAAACGAATGTTTCTGTTCATTTACCACTAAATCTTTTCTTAGCGCTGGTGGAATATATTTAGAGTTTTTGTTGTATGAATCACGAAAATTAGCGCGTTTTTCACCTCTTATGTCATCAAAAGATTTACCTTTTGCGATGAAATAAGTGTCGCATTCCTTCGCTAGTTCTTCTGGACGTAGCCAACTTTCACCTTGTCGAACTGCAACATGGCACGCTAAATCACTATCCAATGTTTGAAAAAGTTTGTCAGAAATTATTAAGTTAATTAAAGACTCAAAATCATTGACGTTTCTACTTTTACAATAATGGATCCAACATGATCTTAAACGAGAGGCGAACTGCAAATGAGTTTCCCCCGTCAACCTTTGAGCTTGGCGAAAATTTTCTAAACATATAATTGGCGATGGTTCATATTCCTTAAGAATTAAAGATTTAATTTTTTCATAATCTTTCAAATCATCATCTTTAATATATACTAGAATATTAGAAGATTTATCACCTATCAGTTTAAGTAAAATTTCAGACTTAAACTCATTTGGTACGTTCTTATGCTTAAAAGCCCTTTCTATGGAATCAAAAAATAAGTTCCATGCTTCACCCTTTTTAGGTACAGAAATCGATAATGCCTGTACAGCTTTCAAAAGCTTATCTAATGAAAGTGTATTTTCTACGTTATTACTAGATTCGTTGCTACTTTCGATTTGCATTAAACGCAATTTCACAATTTCTTCTGACTTTTTCCTTTCTTCAACCGTAGTATTAAGAAATTCAATAACAAAATCTTTATCTTTCAAATATTCTTTAGAACTTAAAAGCTTATCTTTTAATTCTACAACTTTTAAACTAGAATCGGCTTCTTCACCGAGTTCCTTCAACACCGAAATCAAATCACTTTTAACTACTCCTTTAAACATATTTAGAAGAAATTTTCCTTAAAGTTACAACAAAAATTTCTCACCTTTTCTCCAAAATCCAGTCGGCTTCGTTAGCTCTGGTTCTCGAAAGAGAGCGTGCTGTAATGACCTTGCGGATTAATAAGGCACCATAAGGAAAACGACACCAACATTTATTAAAAATTAACTTTCAAAGAATAATGAAAAAAAAATTAACTTTCAAAGAATAATGAAAAAAAAAAAAATTAACATTTAAAGAATAAAAGCAAACTCGGAGCACTACCTCGCTCCTACAACATAATTAATCTATCACCTGCCTCCTCTGAGGCTAACATGCAACTGGCGTCTCTCACTTGCTGGGCTCTGCCAGGCAGCTGATTGGCTCACCGCTGCCAGATACATGACAATTCGTTTCCATCCTGACGAACGAAAACAAATTATACCTTTTATTGCTAAATCCGAACTAGAGTGTATTCATAAAAACAGGGAAGATTTGGATATGTACTTAAACAAAAGGACTCAAGTTCAAATAAATGTAAAATAAGACTCAAGTTAAATCTATCTTCTTGATGACTGCTTGCATGAAAAATTCAGAAATTATTGTTTTAGAGGGAGTCAGTGGATTTCCATAAAATTTTCTGCTTTATAAAGCATTCCATTTCAGGGTCTGTACTATATAACACAGGCCCGATTAGATATTAATTATTATTAGTAATAGAGTGATTTTTACATGTTTACTTTAACATAATTTTCGCTATTAGTATTTAATGATTAAGATATATTAGGTATTTCTCCCGCCTTCTTAGCATGTTTTCGTGGTGTAATAGTCATCACGCTCGGTTTGTATTCGAGAGGTCCGAAGTTCGGGTCCCGGCAAGGGCATTGCTCATTTTTCACGATCTCTTGTTTCAAAATTTATTTAATGTCTCTACAGATGCATTGCAAATAAATGTACAAACAAAGCCGTAGAATTTGTGTCTTTACGTTAACATTTTATTTTCAGCTTTTGCCTGTTCGCCGTTTTATTGATTAATGTTTTGCCAAAACACTTGAAAAAAAATCGACTAGTTGCTTTTTACGACTCAATTTTTCCCAGGCTCTGAAAGGAAGAGAAAAATGGAAGCTAAGCAACTTGAACGTCGAAAATAAAATAAATTTCCCATCCAACAAATATGCCACATCTTTCTCTCTGTAAACAAAGGCAAAAAAATATGACTCTATATATTATTCCTGTCATCGCAAACCCACTTCAAAGATTCATCCACCTTCATCACGGAATACCTCCGCGAATTTCTCTTCGTTTGAATTGGGGTTGCCACGTTAGATCTCAGTGAAGAATTGTATTTAATTGCAACTTCTTTTTCAAAGATGTACTTTTTATTAAAAGGTACGTATATTGTTATGATCCTTGAGCTGTTGCTTCTTTTTTAAACATCAAAGAGGAAAGAAACTACGCCACGGAGCAGGCTTCCGTCTTACAAATCCTACATCATACATACATTCTATACATTCTAATTTATATGAAGATGCAAAGGTTCTGTTTTCACATAAATTAAAATATCAGAAATAGGAATCAGTAAGCTCGCTGTTGTTTTACTGTTGATGTTAAATGATTAAAAATCATGATGTGCTGAACAGCTTACATTTTTTTTTTTTTTTTTTTTTTAAACTTGCTGCAGAGCGATTTCGAGTTTGAATCTCAGAGAAGATGTGAGCGAGCGACTTTGTTATTTATACTATGTGGACTGAAGAAATCTGTTGTTCCCCTCCCAGCAACCTCTGGAGATGACTTTCGGCTCACCGTATAGTTTAGTTGCTTGTTTGCTGCATAGACACCCTTACAAGCATCCATGCCTTCTCCGGGATTCAAGTTCGTGCTTAACGGTACGGCAGTCAACATCGCTAACCATTACGCTTGTTGAGCAGCCCGAAAAACGGGTAGGAGCCCTTCGGATTCCATCCTACTAAATGTCCCAAAAAGGGGCAATAAAATCATTCGATCATTCCTTTTGTTCGAATATCTATCTATACTTATTCTTGAGGCTGTTCTGAGCTGTACACTCGATCACGGGGCTACACTACAACAGCATCATACCTCCTTCTTAGAGGCTGTGTATGATTTGTAAAATATACTTTGATGTCAAAAATTAATGTTTACTAATATAAGTTTCTCAAACTGTTTGATGAAGCTGAATAAATTATCGATTTCAACATAATATTTTATTATAAAAAATTAGTTATAAATGTGACCGAAATTCAAGTATGAAATTAAGTTAAATACTATCAAGAAAATGAGTGAAATAAATATAGTGAGAAAAATTGAACAGTTTTAAATTATGTAGATTAAGAGTCTTGGATTGAATAAGATATTTGATGATATCTGATTTGGATGAATTAAGATATCTAAAGCTATATGATAATCCTAAATCCCACAACTCTCTCACAATAGAATTTCGTGCTAAAAATTAAGACTAACTCCAGGCAGTAGTCTATCGTTTCCTTTCAAGCAGTTTTGTAAGAATTCTTGGGAAAATTTGATGTCTTTGAGTAATTTCTTCCTCTTATATTCGAAATATGTCGGTCCAAATATAGAGATTTAACTAAAATTCGGAAAATTAATACGGAAATTTCCCTTCCTATAAATAATTTACGTATTTTGCGAATACATTATCTCAGCATGAGATCCAGCATTTAATAGTATCTTGAGTAAATAAAGTAAATAAATGCGTTATAAGGTTTTCCTCCCGCCTTCTTAGCGTGCGTTCTTGGTGTAGTGGTCTGCACGCTGGGCGCGTATCCCAGAGGTCTGCGGTTCGATTCCCGGCGAAAGCGTTGCTCATTTTTCATGACTCTTTTTTCCAACTAACCTAATTGCTTTACAAATGACGCTCAAACTTAATGTTGGTGGATGATGATCCTCCACACCCAGGATTTGGCGATTGGGTCCCCTAAAACCCCAGTCGCCTTTTAAAAGGGGGAGTATATAAGGTTTTCATTTTTCATGACTCTTGCTTCCAAATAACCTAATAGCTCTACAACGTCAAGAGTAAAGTAACTGCCTATCTCTGAGATAAAGATTAAATAAATATACCTGGCTCAGAGCGGCCAGATGCCTTCTGTTTGGGTGATTTTTTGCAGCGCTATTTTATCAGCTTGTTTTACCAAATTTGTGTGATGGACCGAAGTGTTTTGTGAAGTTTTCTGCTTATAATTCTGTAACAAAACTTTATACTGCAACAAGATGAAATTTATAGAATAATTTAGTTTAGTTGTTCGTGTTAGTTTATAAATTAATCTCTCAACTTTTAAAGAAAAATGCAGAATACACGCATTATTTAAGAATTTAAAAATTATGCTTATATTTCAGGTGATCGAGTACAACATGAGGGTAGAATGCAAATGCCATGGAGTTTCCGGTTCCTGTGAAACAAAGACTTGTTGGAGAGCACTGCCCAAGTTCCGTCTTGTGGGAACCATTCTTAAGGAAAAGTTTGACAGCGCTACAGAAGTACAGCCACGACGATCCGGCAAGCGCAGCCAACTCGTACCTTTGAATGCTTACTTCAAATACCACTCCGACACGGACTTGGTTTACCTGGACTCATCTCCGGACTTCTGCGAGCAGGATTCGCAGATCGAGACACCGGGCACCCACGGGCGCCAGTGCAACAAGACTTCACGAGCAATTGATGGCTGCGATCTGCTTTGTTGTGGTCGCGGTTATACTAGCCGGTCAGAGAATGTGACTGAAAGATGCGACTGCAAGTTCTATTGGTGCTGCTACGTCAAATGTAGAGACTGCAAAAAAGAGGTTGAATTTAATTACTGTTTATAGATTCATTAAGAAACTTATAGATAGGGCATAAACAGACTATATTATAAACATTACGCTCACCGAATTGGACTTGAGAAAAAATAAAAGGCAAAAATGGCGCCGTAGGAGGTTTTTCAGTTAAATCAGCCAAAATGTGTATTATATTTGTTTGTTGCATTGTTAATCTTAAATGCATAAGTACAACTTTGACTGCCAAATTTTCATATTTTACGTCAGGTTTTTTACACTTGCATTTACGTAGCTATTGTTAGGCATTTTAAAGGAAAATATAATGTTATTGTTTTCAGGTAATAAATAATGATATTGCGGTTAATTTACACTGGCTGTTTTGGGAAATTAATTTTTTAAAAGAGCAAATTTAGAGTCTAATAAATGTATACTTCTTCATTTGTAAAGCTAGAACCCTTATTAAAATGTTTAAATTTTAACTCGAACTCTAAACAGCATTGTATTTCTCACTTTGTGATATTTTTAGAAAAGTTTAAGTTATTCGTTATCTGAAATTCATCTATAACGAATTAGGCACATTTAAAGTTTCCTTAAAGAATACGAATGTACAAGAATAATAATTAAAATAAACCATTAATTTGCATTAAAATAACAGAATGGGCATATCTATAAAGTCCCTTATATTTACATATATTTGTATTAAAATAAAGTTTTTGAGGTATGATTTAGTTTAATTTGTTTCTTTTTTTATGACTATTTTTCATCCAGTTGGACTCATATTTCTTGGTTATAAAAATTGTGAAACAGCAAACTACTTTATGCTAAACTTTATTTAGAAATTTACATAAGATTTATGAAATCTGTATTTACAGTTATTAGTTTCTGAATTTCTGTAATAAAAAAAAGTTGATTTTCACTCAGTCAGTTTTTAAATAAATTCTGGGAGAGAAGTGAATTAAATTAATGTTCTGCTGTTTATTTTATTCCAGCTTACATTACAATTTCTTACAAAATGTCGTTCAAAAAGATCAGTAATATTTATAAGAAACAAATAAAATGTAACTATTCGAAATTTTAGTGTGAGATCTATGCTTCGGATTTATTTCTTAAAGCTAATTATAAGGCAAAAATATTTTGCTAAAGTATAGCTGTATTTTTCCGCCTAATCGTATGAAAACTACTCTATACCGAAAAAATGTTACGAGCTATTTATGAAAGTAGATTTAGATTTTCAAATTATGGAATTAAATGCATTTGAAATGAAACCTTAAATTTGGATATCAAGTAGATGGCATATTGTGAAACAACATTATAACTGTGATAAAAATTACTTAAAAATTATAACTGAAATCAAAAATGTTAATTTGATATTTAAACTAACTCTGAATTATATCCTGCAATTCAAAACTATAGATTTAAGTCTGAATTTAAAATCAGATGTAGAGTGTAAGATAATTTTTGATGTCAAATATGAGAAGGTTAAGTCATGTCATACTCGTGGTAAATGATATCATTTTCAGTGACGTATAATCTTAGAGCCTAAACTAGTTAAATCAAAATCTTTGAATGAAGAAGGGGAAAACAAAATCTCTAACTTTGGGATAGGAAGGCATTTCAAAGAAATCTCTCTCTCTCTCAATATTTTGGTCATTTATGATCGAAGGAAAATTGTGGCGTTATTTTTAATTTCTCAATTCAGTCGCCATCTTATAACTTTGATTAAAATATTTCTTCTCGAGGTAAATTTTCTATCCCTTTTAAGAGCTGGCTTCTTTTATCAAAAGAACTTTGCTTCTCTAAAGAGGGGGAAAAATCAAATTCTGAACTCCTTTTCCCGGTAAAGTTTTCTTCTGATTCTCCCAAAATAAATTATCCCTGTTCCTATCATCTATTGCGTGCGAACTTTGCTACATTCAAGTGAAGAAAAGCTCGCATTGTTTCTGTTAAAAGTTCTCTTTTTTGTTATTTTTCCCCTTTCCTTCATCTTGGGTATTATATGGGACTCCATCGCATCATCAGTTTCAGCTCGAGACAACAACTTGAGACAGTTTGTTCGACTGGACGAATGTCCCCATGTGATTTATAACCGCGAAAGGGGGTTTGGGGTTTGGAACAGCAATCTTCACCAATTCATCAATCAAGAATTTCTGTCAGGACCACAATTCGTTGCGAAGAGAATAGTGGTGGAAAAAAAATAAAAAAATAAGTAAAGATCCCCCTCTTAAGAGCCTATCAATCGATTCTGGTACCAAATGATAAATTCTTGCTAAAACTTTTGTTGTGAAACTTTTTGGAAGGTGTTTGAGACAACAGGCTTAATCGAAGATATCAAAGACGCTTACCATTTTCTGTTCTAGAGGGCTGGAAAGGAAAATGACTGACTTCAAGTCAGCTGGAAGTCCTTCATCCCATGACTTCATCTAATATCTTCAAAAATCAAAAGGAAATCAGCGCTTGAATGTTTATCTTCCCTCGATGAACGAATTTATGATTTCTTTGATACAATTCTTCATAATATAGGCCCATATTCATAATGAAGCCAAAGTGGCAATTATGTTGCAAAACAAGTAAAAGTCTCTAATATAAAAATAAATATAAGTGTGTGTCCCAAATATAAAAATAACATATTCGACTTTTATATTCGACTGCAATTTTAAAATATATAAGAACAATGGAAGCGGCACAAAAATGCTGTTAAATAAAGTAGTATATCAAATTAAAATTCCCCTAATTTAGAATTTTTTTTTCCTTATTAGATACTCACGAATTGTATAGCTGTTATATAAATCTAATTTATCTTAATGGGGGTTATCTTCTTATGAATTATAGATAATATGCTTTTCATCGCTACTATTTATAAAAGTAAAGGAACAATGTCAGTATTAAATTATCTCAAACTTGTCATCCAAAAATAAAGTAATAAATAAATAATATAATAATGGATAGGTAATATAATTATAAAGTTTAGAAACCTTCTTTGCAATCATAAACTGTAACTAAACTTCAATAGACTGGCAGCGAATTATCGCTAAGTCTGAATTAACTGAAATTTGAGAAGGGTGTAAAAGACCTTTTTATTTAAACTAAGAACAGAAGGCACTCTTGGGGCTTACAGTCTCAGCCAGCACTTATGGTGAGATAACTTAAACTAACAGCAAATTCAAATGTAAAATTTGAATTCAAATAAGCTAGTAACCGAAAGCTACACAAATCAATTAGCGTGAAGTTGGCTCAAAACTTAACCGCCGTGGATATTCAGCTATCGGCAATTATAATGCAAGGCTGAAGACTACAATCTTATCGTTTCTAACAACCTGGTAATGTGTCCTCGAGAGGGAGAACAGGCTGTGTCTTGCTATCTAAAACCCTAACCTAATATACGCGAACTAAACTAAATACTTGCAAACTAATTTGCATTCTGGCAGGGAAACGGGAGAAGTGACGATAGAGATCCAAAATATAAAATAACTGGTTAATTAACACAAAGGAATGCTACATAATAATACCAGGAAACATAAATAGCCGAGCCCTGAAATATTTACAAAATTTGATTATCTGTCTGTTTTACGAGCACTAATGTTATTTCTTGATTTTAGTGTTTTAAAATATAATTTATTAATGTTTCTTTTTTCAATATACTTTAAATATATAAAATTTTATATGAAATATTTTTCATATAATATTTATGAAAAACTAGTGTTATTTTAATAAATTTTATATTCATATTATAACAATAATAATAAGAAGCGTGCTATACAAAATGTATCATTTACTACTGTTTTATTCTATTTTTTAATATTTTATAAATTTAATCATTTCTATTCATAATGCCTCAATTTTCAAAATCGATCATTAATGTAGCAGTTATAAAACAACAAAATATTTATGTAAGAAAATTCTAATAAATCATACTGGATCTAGAAAAATTACCTCATAATTTAAAAACCTGCAGATATAATTTTTTATGAATAATTTTCTCAGTATTAAGTGTTCCCAAATTTAACAAAGGTAATAAACCTGTCGTAAACTCCTCTTATAGTTTGGCTTTGTTTGAAAGAACCCAAGAAATAAACTATATCAGTCAGTCTGCTAACCGTTTAATTCACCAATATTCCTTTTTTAATCATTAATTTGGTATAAAAATAATAGATAAGAAATATGTCTTCATACTATTGTCTTTAATTTACTTGCCAAAAAAAATATATTTTACATAACCATGCTAAAATTGCATCATCCCTTGTTATAAATGTAACTATTTACATTTAATTACCTACTTTTATAATAGTAGATTCTTGTATGGTAATTAGTTACCGGTTTATTCTTAATCTGCTAGTGGCTTCTATTGTTTTTCGAGGAGTGTGACTATTGTTACATTAACGAATGATTTTAATATGTTGCTGTAAGATACGTTGCACAGCTGATTATTACAATAAAACTAATGTATTTGTTGAAATTTCTTATATTTCGTATAAGCAAGATTTTTTACTTTAATGCTATGATAGTTATCCTTATGAATAATAATCATTATGCTTTGATTATACTGCATGATTTAAATTATGAGTACACTTGTTCGGGAGCATTGTAAATATGTATCACTATTGCATAGAATTTCAGCACTTTAATAAATATTTATTATGTAAATTTTAAGAATGTGTGTTTTACTTTACTTTAGCGTATTTCGCAATATATTTATTATCTTAACAGCTAAAAACAGTCTTTCGACATATTCTTTTTAATTTAAATGTTTGTAAACTTTTATGCCGGTTTTTTGCCGAATTACTTCCATTTGGAATTGCACCCAGCCTGGCTGGAATCGGTGAACTGGTCTCTTAAGTAGATAAGTTCGTTGCCAAATCTGTAATAGGAATTTAAGAGTTCATATATAACTAAAATTATCGAAATAATGACACATTCTAACTGTAAAATAATTTAAGCTGTTTCAATGAGACATAGAAATGATTAACAGGATTCTGCAAACATTTTTCTCCAGCATCAGAATTAACACAATGAAATCAATGAAATTATAGGGTAATGCAATATGTAACGAAAAGAGATGAATAATTGGTGAATATTCCTCAGAAAATAATCGGTATAAAACTGTGATATGATATACAAAGAAAGAAAAACAAATGTCTTATCATGTATGAATATATTTACATCTATACGTGTTTGCTGATTTTAGAGTTTACAACGAATTGACAGCTTACGTTTAAAGATTTGTAATATTTAAAAAAAATCAAAGAAAGCAATCGAAAACATAGCTAGATGCCCTTGAATTTTATAACTTTTGACATATAAAATGACATATTATGTTAGAATTTTTAAAAGTCCAGTTGCTTATCCTTTCATTACGCTCCTTGTATATTCAGTTATTTTTGGATATAGTTTACATACTGATTGAGCTTTCAAAACCTCATTGTTTAGCATTTTTGTAATCAGCTGTATTCTCTGTGTTCTCTTCAAACTACTAAGAACGTTAAACACAAGGCAATGCGAAACGCCTCAAATGCGTAAGCTTGTACAGCGATCTCTCATACACTGAGCCAAACAGTGAACTGTGAACTAAACTGAAAACTTACGTTGATACTAAAGTATTTATGCAGGATTTCTACTGCAGTAGCAGTACTATCCCGAATTTATTCCCGAATTTATTCCCGAATTAACCCGAATTTATTCCACAGTGGGCCTGATGATGAAAAGTACCTGAAGAATTTCTCGTAGCGAGAGAGCTTGATGAAACTTTTAACCGGTAACTAAGAAAACTGAAACCTGACCTTCTCTTGGGTCTTATACAGTAATTTTTACCGTCAACCAAGAAATTATCAGTATTTTCGGTTTTTCAAAATTGCTGGAAGGCATACACAGTTACAATTACATAGAGCCGGATACAGTTACAGTTACATAGATATCGGACCAAAATGTCCCCACATTTGACGATTTTTGGAAATTTTCCGCTAAATTTGGCTCAAAAATTAGTTCCCAAAACCATCGTCAACCATACAAGAAATACTACAATTTACATATAATTTCACTAAACTTATTTACTTTCGTAACAATACTTTCAATCAAAAATTTTTTTTGTCTCTATAGAAATTTAAATACCGCAACAAAACAACATTTGAAATATTGGTACTTTTTATAATTTAAATCATTTATGAAAAAACATTAAAATAGTCGAAAATCTGTTAAAAAGGAAACAAAACTGAGTTTTCCTGAGTATGCTTCTTGTGGCACATTTTGGATCTAAAGGAAAGTTTCAGTTCTGTTGAAGCTTTATGTAATTGTAAAGAATGCCCTTCAGAAGAGTAATAAACGTGACTTGTAAACTCTTAGAAGTGTACTGGAATTATCAAATGACAATTTGATTCGAGCGCGTTAACTGCACTTAATAGCATTTAATTTCTTTCGCAGATCCTTGAGGGCAACAAGCATTCCGAAAAGTGAATATTTTGTTACCTACAATCAAGAGCAATCATGGGTAGAAATTACTTCGTAGGATTTCTGCAGAAAAAAAAAATTTCCATATAATTACTTAATTACATAACATGCGATGACATCCAGGATGTTAATGCTTCGTTCAATGTTGAGAATTGTCGGCTAAAGTTGATTACTGAGCATCAGTAAAAGCTTCTTTTAATCTATAATCATTAAAGGAAATAAGTTTGTTTTAAACAATGACAAATTAAAATAAATATCTGTGCATTATCGTAGGCTGTATTATGAATAAAAAATAGTTTAACCTACTTTAAATATTTGAAATAAAAAAAATTAAAGCTTTTAGATTTTATATTACGTCCAAAGGGCCTCTATATATATATATATATATATATATATATACACGTTTGGAGAGCATTTGGGCTAATGATCCTTTGGCTGAAAATATTTAAAAACAGCCTAACTTTAAAATTTCCAATAGACAGTCTCACGCGCTGGAATTTTTTTTTTTTAATCCAATGCTGCCTGCCATTGCTTGCTTTGAAATCATTGAGTTTGTTAATCAAAAATTCGTTAAAGTTTTACAAAATTTGAAATCGATAATAAAACAAATTCCAAATTTGGGCTATATTCGGGTGGAAGCATATGTTATTCAAAATCTGATGGCTCCAAGTACCGTCGTTCTATCACAATGTGAGAAACTGTGAGAAATGTGTATACATTTATGCAGATTTTTAATTTCTTTAAATATAAGACTGGCGATAATATATGGTGGCAACAATTTGAAAAGTGAAACGGACATTTAATGTTTTCAACGCAAAATGCCAAATCAAAATTAATAGCTCTTCTCGGGGAACGCCTTTTGAGCTAAAAACAGATATTCTGTTCTGATGTAATGCATAACGTCAGAAGCGTATTTTATTAATTGCAGGAATAATTCAAACATTCATAATTATCAACTGGATATATTTTAAATTAAATGCGTTTTGAGTACCTTAGTTAGATATGTCATTAAAAATGAAATAAAGATTTAAATTATTTAGAAGCTAATTTATTGCTTTTAAATTACTAAGTTTGTTAAATAGCACAGTTATAATTTGAAAGATAAATTAAGAATTTTATTTGCGTATAAAGGCAACATTTTACAAACTGTCCATTCACCAGGCCATGTAGAAGATAACGATTTCATGTCTATTACAGTTTACAACACTTGCTAGCTCAAATATATGATAAATGGCTTGGTAGATGAACATAATGTCATTGAAGACATTTCTAACGTTAAAAAAAGGGAAAAAAACGAAACTAGAAGAATTATTAAAAGCAAAGCCAATTCGTTGTTATGAGAAGCATAAATGACTAGTGATTCTGCTTAATTCTGCAACCGAAATGACGGTGGAAATGCCTCTGAATTAAATGACATAAAAAATGTTTATGAAATAACGCGTACATAATTTTTTTCTTCATGAATTTGATGAGACTATGAATATACTTCTTTTATTTACTTAAATAACTCATGTTATCTTAGTTAAAATGACTCTCGAAAAAAAAAAGTGTTTTGGTTAAAAAACTAAAATTATCCCGTTAAAGATCTTCAATGTCAATATTAGTTATTACCTTTACTGCCCTTCATCTTTGCACATGCGTAATGTACTATAACTATCTGTCTATCTATCTCTGTATATACATTATTAGATATATTCCTTGCAGCAATGGCGAAAGAGAATTATTTAAATTTAATTTAACTTTACTATTTTCTTGTGAAACAATTTTGTTAGTACTTAGCAGCTTTTAGCGCCAATTAACTTGTTTAATTTCACTCTTTTCATTTTTTCCAAAAACGTTTTTTTCATATGTACTTATTTCAAGTAGTTTAGTTTCCTTTTAAATATTTTTTTACGCTTAACTAAAAAAAAAGTTTAACTTTATTTAAAATTATAACTGTTTAAAATTTTAATTAGTTCGCAGCTATAATAATTACTTTTATTTCTTTGCAATTAAAATTTCTTAATTAAATTTTAAATTTAATTTTATTTTTGCTTTACACGAACTTTACTTTATACGAATAGAGAATATTTGTTAAATTCATTATTAGATACAGATATAAATTTTTAATATTAGAATTTAATTATCTCATAGGAATAGTATTTCAATATCACTGTACTTAAGTTACAGTAAAAGTAAATTAAATTAATATGCACATCAACTAATTTGGAAGTGTGAAATATAAGTCTAATTGCGCTGATGAATAGTAGCCATTAAAAATGCTATTCAAGTTTACCTGAACGTATGTATAATACATTAAAAAATTATATAAATGAAACAAAAGTTAAAAACAATTTACAGCAGAAACAAAATGTAAAATTCAGAACTAAATTATTTCATTTGCCAAAGGGGAATTGATTTTGAAGGGAGAATCATTTTCCTTTAGCAGATGCACAGTAATTTGGGTATTATCCGTTACGTCACAGTATATTCTTGAATACAAACTATGTACACTCCTGTGCAAAAATAAGATAATTTGGGAATTATGGCTATATTTAGCAAAAGTATTGAACCAAATGTACTAATTTTGCCGCCGAAGAATAATGCAAATATTTAGAGACTAATACGTAAGCGTACATGCGTGTGTGTGTGGAGGTATGATTGTGGAGGGGGAGGGATATAAGCGTACGAGGGGTGTTCGGCGATTTGTGTACTCGTACTCCATCACGAATTTCACCGTGTTTCTCGCTAGAGTTGGGTAACTTTTATAAGGTATCAAATAAAATGAGTAACCACGAACGTATGGATGACGGCATAAGATGGAAAATTGTGGGCAGATTGGAGGCAGGCCAATCACAAACGCAGGTTGCTACAGAGCTCAATATAATATCCAGTGTCGTCTGCGATTTTTGATAAAAATATCAGGCCACTGGATCCATGACCTGAACAAGGTTGATCAAAATCCATAATGACGAATGAGGATCTTCATGTGGCACTTTTTTCACGCAGACACAGGACTGCTACAGCTTCACAGATCTCGCGTGAATTGTATATTGCCACTGGAACCCGAGTTTCATGGCCTAAGACTTCAAGAGATAGAGCTGTATGCCAAAACACCCTCTGTTTGGGCTCCACCTCATTGCAGCGCATAAGAGAGAGCATTTAGCATGGTGCAGACAACATGCGCTTTAGACCAGTGGAGCACACTGCTTTTTAA